AAAAAAGCCTTAAAGAAGGGGAAAAAAGCAAGAATAATTGATCTCATTTACTTTTCATTGCTGTAGACCTTCAGCATGGTGGGCAGACGCAGCTTTGTGGATAGCAGCAGTATCTTGATACTTATTTTCTTGGCACAAACACTTTTCAGATAATATAACTCTAGAAGAAACTAATTTCCAGCAAATTATTCTAATGGCAATTTTTGAGCTTTTGTTACTGATTTTAATAAAGGAAAAAAAAAAAAGCCCTCAGAAAATACAAACAAAAGACGGGGAAAAAAGAAAAAACCCACAGAAGTCTAAACTCACCCAGAGCTCAAAAATGGTTCCATGGGAACACTATTTTGCCATGCTCATAGACCCAAGTATGTGTTGAAACACAAACAAGACAAACTGCTTTACAAAATTCCGTCGAGGGCCCTGACCAATATGCAAACAAAAGTCTATTTTTTTTTTTTACAGTTTCTAATGCATATGTGACTCTGTTTCTGGAAATCACTTATCTGATAAGAAATCTGTATTTTTGAACTCTCCCCATATTGACTCATTATAAATAAAGGTCTGCATTCTGTTCCCACAAAAAGCCAGAAAATCTTCCATAGGAAGCATCACAATTGGCAGAAGTTGCAGAGAGTGGGTGATGTGATTATTCCAGTTTTTCATCCACAATGCATAAATTTTCATTTGTTGGTTAGTCCTGAGCATACACCCATTACAAAAATTCATCGGTCATTCTTATTCTGTTTTCAAGGGACTCCTTTCAAATCATGTAACTCTCACACAAATTGGTTCCCCAGATACAAAAAACACACCATTTGATTTACTTTGAATCCCTTCTCCATCATGGAGATAGTCATCAAACTAGGACTTGCTATTAGATGACCTGAAATTTTCCTGTTCATGATTCTGTTTGGATTTTTCCAGCCAGATGTGGGTTTTTAAAAAATTACTATGTGCCATCATAGAACTGGGGCACAGTGCTTAATAGAATATAAACTTGAAAAAAATTGATTTGTCTTGTTGTTCAGCTCTGTTTACAAAGGGCTTATATAAAGGTTAAGCAGTTGAAATACTTAAGGGAATAAAACAGATATTAATAAAGTAAATATTTAATAAAGGCTCTGTTCCTTTCTTAACCACTTTTTTTGAGGATCTTAGCATTAATGTGATCACATAAGTTACATCACTGGTTTTCCAGAAACCATACTGTGTGACACAGATTCACAGTAAGTCTACAGGGCAATAAACCTTTATCTTTCTTTCTTAGAAAAAAAAAAAGTGCAGGCAAAAAAAAAAATTTTTTTTAACCTTCGTTTCACTATTTGTGCAGTACTTTGAGGCTGATTTATTTAACATCCCTCTGATGATTAACTGAATCGTCTAAATAACATTCTCAGGGTGTGATTAGTCAAACCACTGAAAGTTTATAAATGTGAGAAAATGTTTTAGAATAAGATTCAGGTCAGGGTAGTATTAGAAGAAAGAGGAAAGAAGGGTTTAATCAATTCTACTGCTGCTCTAATTCAGAAAACATAGAAGAGATCTTTTGAAGTAGAATGCTAATGACCAGTACTTTGTGATAGTACCAAAAGCAGTTTTTAAGGGCAGGAGAGTCTAGAC